ACATTTGGTAGTACATGACAATAGATGAGACACATGAACAAATGAAAGAAGAAGAACTGTATATCTAACAGGAAAAATAACAATAATAATCTTTTTAAATATAAAAATTGTCATCTGTAGATAAAACTTTATTAATAGTAGGTTACTATGAGTATACACTTGTTACACCAGTTGTCATAAGTTCACTGCCAATAGTCATAAGGTTTCTTATGCTTGTTACTACTTTCTCAATAAAGTATAGCTTTCACAACACAACATGCATCTGAAATACTCAGTTATCATACTTACCTAATTGTGAGCGTATAACTATTAAGATTTATAGACTAGTCTCCAGTAAAAAGTAAAAAAGAAAATTTGTAATAGGAACACAGAGCAGAAAACAAATTGTTACATTGCTTTGATGATATTACAGTAATGGATCTACTATCATTCCATAGTAAGGCTAAGCCCCCAAACAAATTTTAAAATGTTCAATTTAATGGGTCATTGCTTAGATGACATACACAGGATGTTTATATAGCCTTAGATCTACATTCAAGCCCACACAACTTTCAGTTTGTTCATTATCTAACTAGGCTCTCTGTTGAAGTAATGTCTGCCTGTTGCCTATTAGTAATACTGCTGTACTTCATGAGTAATGGAATATTACTGGAGGCTAATGGAGAGTCTTGTACTGAAGGATTTATGGATTATAGTCTTCTACAGGGTAAAGCAACAAATCCACACAGAAATTTACGTAATAACAGATTATCTAACTATGAGAACCCTATGGTAGATGCAGCAACAAGATGAATTATCATTGAGGACAACATAAAATTCACTTGTACTACAGTTATAACAGAAATAATGATTGGAGTTGATATAAGGACAGTTACTAATACTGTTGTTGGTAGAAATTTATATCCAAGATTTGAAGTATGGGTTCCAACTAATGATGCTGGTGTGTACACTAGAGTGATGTCTATTGAAATCAGACTGACTCCTGATAACTTTACAACTAATGGACAGTATCGTTTCACTCTCCCTACTCCATTAAATGTCTCTAGTGGATACAGGATTGGTGTATATCAACCTCCTGGAGACAGAAGTGTTGTTAGATTCCATTATATTAACCTGCCTGGTGATGTTGATCATGATAGAACTGGAAAAGTACAATTAAATGACATTAACAACAATGAAATTAGAATATCAGGAGGAGGTCGACATGTTGACTATGAAGAAGTTACTATACTAATACATCCAATAGTGCAGAATACAAGTATGTGATAAATCAATTATAATTGAATAGATCATTCTATTAATTTAGGTTGTTTTGCACAATTTGTACCTGATGACATAATCAATTCATTAAGTTATTCTATTACTGATTCATATTATGTTGATGACACTAGAATATTCCCTGATATAAGGTTCACATGTCATGGTATTATTACTAACTGGATAATTGGTGGCTCTGCACTAGTCATGCCAGTAATTAAAATAAGACATTCAAATAATCTCACTACTACAGCAGCAACATTGAACACTAGTGCTAGTAATGCTGTTATGATAACTTCTCTTTTATATAATTTTACTATGAGCAATGAGATAACAGTACAACCTGGTGATATACTGATGATTGAGAGTAATACTACAAATTATATGTTCTATCAACAATACAATGGACCACACAATTACAGACTGGGGGACAACAATGAGTTAATTGCATTAGGTACCAATGACTATCCCCTCATTTTAGTTGTAGTAGGTAAAAGTAACATTTTACATCATATAAGTAAATAATTATTTATGTCCAATCTCATATAGAGCCTTTCACAAATACAGCTACTTCAACAATCAGTAGTACACATATTAATACTGTCACTACTGTGCTTCCATCATCAAGCATATACTCCACAGCTACTGTAACAATGGAATCAATGAAATGTACTAAAACTAGCTTAACATCAAGTAACAGTTTATCATTGACTATAGGTACTACATCAGTGATGAGTACACCAGTTAGTACATTACAAAGTACAGGCAGTAATACACTAATATTAGCAGGAACTATTAGTACAGCAGTATTTATATTACTGGTAGTTACTATACTAGTAATATTAATAGTGAGTGTATTAGTATGTAGGAGAATATGGGATAAAACATCAAATGGAAATGATACTTTTAGTTCTACTGTTAGAAAAGCTGATATAAATCAACAATCAGAAGGTAATGTTTATTATACTAAGTATGTATGTAAACATGATAAAGAAATCAATTTATAGTGCCAAATATGGAAAATACACTATGGGCATCAACTAATCCTGCTTATGGAGTTACTGGTGAAAGTAAGATAGACTATTATTATCAATCAATACAACTATTAATAGAATCTGGTGTATCTGCTAATCCTGCCTATGGTATTAACACTGGAGGAATACAAAGTAATAGTGTGCATGGAGTTGGGTGGATAAATAATTGTAAGAATAATATAATATTTTTATGCGAACAGAGCAATGGCAATTTGCATGTACTGGCAATTGTTTAGATAAGTATTATTAAAAGGATTATTGTTGTATTGGACTATAGGTATCAATGAAGAATCATTAGTGTATGATGAACCAAGAACAATGTATAATGAACAAGAGGTAAGTTTATGTGCATTACGTATAGAATACATCAGTACATGCAGTGTATTGAATGTACTGCAATCATGTATTTATTGTTAAATCAGTACCATCAGTGTTTACTGATGTTTTTTTAGCATATTCTGTCAATATTAGGCTACAATAAGGCAAAATGAAGCATATGGACAAAGCAACAAACTGCACCTTCTACAATAACATAGTCATGTGTGTACTATTATTTTTAATCAAAATAATCTAGTTAAAATTGGTAAAACCAATAGCACTTTAAATGACAGCCACAAATGGTGCACACACACACAATGCGTGAGATTTTGTGAGTTTTCAAGCAAATTCAACTGATGCAAACAAGACCAAAAACATTCATTGTAGTCTAGAGCTAGTATTTATTGTCAAAAAGCATTGTAGGTTTCCCAGAATGGGCTTTTGATTTTGTTATAGGCATATGATGCATATCCCTTATGCCAACTTCTCTGTTTCCGACTAGGTCTATAGAGTACATTATCAATGATCGTACACCATCAATTTTCGGACACTTGTTTTAGGAAAACTATACATTGCCATCTCATGAGACTGCAAAGTATTATAGCAATAGTTATCCTTTATTTGCGTGACAAAACTTGTAGCTCTAGCAAGAGTGCATAGAAAGTTATAAGCTCTCAAAGCGTGGTGTCCGACAATACCAATGATCGGCCAAAATTCTCAATCTTCGGACTGTCATTTCTGAACGGCAGCAAAGGATAGTTTTAGAAGATCACTATGATAACTTTGTAGGCCTGTCTTTAAACTAACTATCACCATCCGGATCTTTTTGATAGCTGTCTTTTTGACAGAGATAGTGGCCACTTAAAATGTGTCACCTGATCCCTCAATATACGGACAAATTTTACAAAAATATACAAAACTGATGATT